CCGAACAAAGCTGAATGCCATACATGTAAGTACCCGTGAAAACTTAAGAAAAACTACACACACACACACACACACACACACACACACACACACATAAATACCACTCATGCATCATCACAAAATCTCCAGAACCGTAAAGCTTACAAACTTGAAATTTGGCACATAGGTTCCTCTTGGCTTCTAGGGGCTCACTAAGAAAGGATTTTTCAAATTGACCATCAGAGCATTAGTATTTCCTGTATTATTATTATTATTATTATTATTATTATTATTATTATTATTATCATCATCATCATCACACTCTGATGCTAAGGAGTTCTACTCCCCCTCCCCACCTAAAAAGAAATCTGTTCCAAAGGCAAGACACAAGCAGAGGAGAGGAGTTTCAGTTTCAGAGCACCAAGCAGCTTTAGCGCAGAACAGGTGAGTTAAGCCACGCCCAGGCTCCTTGCTGCCTCCTTCTTACTCACACAGCAAATACGGTTTCAGTTTCCAAACAGCCCTCAACTCTCTCACACACTGGCAGGACACCAGCCAGACGAATACTGATGGATGCTGGTAGGCAGAGACAGAATTTTTTCCCCTTATTTTCCTCCCCAAAAACTAAGCCTGACCACATAGTTTCATAGCGAAGCGCGAGTATCGAACTAGTATCTAACATTATCGCCATCAACCTCCCTCTTATTGTTACAAATATCTTGCTATATTAAAATATTTGCATTGTTGTTCCCCTCTTATTTCTATTCTAACTTTTATTCACATCAACGTAGTATTTAAAGATGTTTCTTTTCTGCCTTTCATTTTTCACCTGCTTTATTACTTATATTTCCCTTATGTACACTGACAGCATCTGCACCAAGACAAATTCCTTGTGTGTCTAATCACACTTAGCCAATCAAGAATTCATTCATTCATTCATTTTAACACTTCACCTCTGTATATATTAAAGTTTCATCCTTCATTCTTTCACTGTTCAGTGTTTCAAGATACAATTCTAACACCAATCCCAATGATCATTTAAACATATCGGGTAGATCTATTCATAGGATCTCCATGTGAGTTAAGACGGCTCTATAAATATATTTAATAAATACTAATAATAGGAAGATGAGAAATTAGGTGGGATATAGCAGTTATCTGAGGCTTCCAGAGAAGAGGATGGGATACAGGGAATTGTTTGATATTTCCAGAGAGGGATGACTTCATTATTTATACCAGTGGTCACCAACCAGTGGGCCGCATCCCACTGGTGGCCTGCGAGAAAAATTTGGTGGTCAAGCAAAATTTTATGTGACAGACTCAGGTTGCCAATGGCAGAAAGACAGATCTCTGAGTGAATCTGTGATTCTGTGTGCAGCTCAATCTGCCTGCCTGCTTTGCCTGATTTTCAGTAAAAGTTGCTTTTTTTAATAAAAAAAACCCCAATATTTACATACATAGTATGTTGTGAGTTAATTTTGTGAGTTTGCTTGCTAGCAAATTTTATGTGACAGACTGAGCTAGCTGATGCCAGATATAGATAGATAGATATCTGAATAAATCTGTGATTCTGTAAGCAACTCAATCTGCCTGCCTGTTTTGCCTGATTTTGGGTAAAAACTGCTCTTTATATAAAAAAAATCAATATTTACATTAATATTTACATACAAGCCATGCCCTGCCAGTCACAGGACCACCAAGCCACACCCACAAATTAGGCCACACCCACAGAACCAGTTAAGAAATTTGAATCCCACCCCTGCGACTGTGTGTGTGTGAGAGAGAGAGAAAGGGAGGGAAGGGAGAAAGAGGTTAGATCTCTCTCTCTTTCTCTCTCTCTGTCTCTATATCTCTTTCTCTCTGTCTCTGTGTTTCTCTCTAGCCAGCTTTGCTGGGGAATTCTGGGAGTTGAAGTCCACCAGGCTTAAAGTGGCCAAGGTTGGAGATTTCTGATTTGGATGTTGTAAGCACCCAAAAGTCACTTCTAATGCAACCCATTGAATACTTGCTACTACTAATCGAATAATTTGAGATTGATGAAGGTGGAAATGAGCTGGCAACCGTACTACAAGAGATGGGCTTGGCTCCTAAATATTCTCCATAGTGTCATTGACTTACTCACGCAACTCACATCAACCCGCAACCACAATCCCGTCCTCAAGACCAATTTCCAACCCGTGTCTCCGGGGGAAGCAGCGGAGCGCAATGCCTTAGTTTCCTCTCTTGGGTCCCCTTCCCAAGCGGGGGAGAGCAGACACCCCTCCCTGGGCCATTTGGAGCTTCAAGCCAAGAGAGGTTTCCCTCCCACCCGCCAGCCTCCTCCTCCTCCTCCTCCTCCTCCTCCAGCCCCTGGGCAGATTGTACAGTACCAGGAATTTTCAGCACCATGGTCTTGCAAGGCAGGGGACAAAGAGAGGCCAGGAAGGGGAAGGGGGGAAGGGGAAGGGGAAGAGGAAAAGGAAGCGGGGAGGGAAGGGGGAAGGAGAAGAGGAAGAGCAAAAAGGGAAGGGGAAGAGAAGGAAAGGAGGGAAAGGGAAGGGGAAGAGAAGGAAAGGAGGGAAGGGGAGGGGGAAGAGAAAGAGGAAGGGAAGAGGAAGAGGAAAAGGAAACAGAAGCCGGAAGGGAAAGGAAGAGGGAACGGAAGGGGGAAGGAAAAGAGGAAGGGGAAGTCAAGAGGGATAAAAAGAGGACATGGAGAAGGAAGGAAGGAAGGAAGGAAGGAAGGAAGGAAGGAAGGAAGGAAGGAAGGAAGGAA